ATTATGCATGCTTCGAGGCATTTTCTGAGGTTACAAAAAAAAATGCACAAGTTGTTCTTAGTAAGAATATTAAGGAGAATGGAAAACGTCTGTCAAAAAAAAGTGCTTTTAGAAAAAATACGAATATTTTACACTATTGACTTTATTAACAAAAGTTTTAAAACTGGCAGACAAAACACAAAATTAATAATTTGGAGACATTAATAAAGCATTTGTTTTTTGTACCTAGCTATTTTAATTTGGAAACTGAAAAATGTTTAGCAATCATTATTCATTTATTAATAATAACATATTTCGCCTATGTGTAATTGTCTCGTTTATCTACAGAATCCACAGATTTTTTTTAAACATATAGTATCAAAAAATAAAATATATACACCTAGCTACATAAATAGCAGTAAATACTATAGAAAATTTATTAATGATGCAAATGTACACTGACAACCACAAACAACTGTTAATATACATGATATAAGAGTAAGTCTTTGTAAGTTGCACCATGCCCCTCACCGACGCACGATATATTGCATTACAACGGTCCGGCTAATAATTTTTTTAGTTAAGATCAAACGAACGAAACTGGTTCATTTTACATATGAGACGGGCAAAAAGCCAACCAATTTGAAAATATTCACAATCAAAATTATCCGAACAACATCGATCATGACCGCATCAAAAATACAATTTCACAAATATATGGTCATAGAGTCAATATTCTTATGATGCGAAAGAAAATTTGATGACCACGCTCTAGGAGCCGAAAAAGCTAACAAAAAAAGCGCCGGATTGGAATCTGGTACTTATCAGTATGTTGAAGTATGCCATTTAATTGTACGTTTTCAAATATGTAATTATGTTTTCTCATTGGCTTTTAATGGTAGTATTGTATGCATTGTGAGAATTAATAGTTATTCTAATCAACGAATTAGCTCTGAAATTAATTGAGGAGTATGAAAAAATATGCTCGTTCGACAAGTGATTACTGATTAGTAATACATAAAGCACATGGAAAAATATACCAAGACGATAATATCGTTAGCATGTAAGACTTACGCGTCCGTATTTAATTACCATTTGTGTCTTGCATATACTTAAGGAGTGACAGCTATATTATACACTTTATGGAATTTCCAGTTCCTTGATATTTCTCAGTTCGAGCATAGTTCGAGAAATTGTATTCTGTAAACTTCTAATTCAGAGCTTATTTGTCGTTGCAATAAGCCCTGTACTTGCAGAGTTATTGTTCTAATTCTGTCCATCTCTTCTCGTCTCCTCAGAGATACTAAGCTTAAAACAGTAATTTAGCAATTACGAAAAGTTTGCTGAAGGATGATGTGAAGTAGATTATTGCAAAGTTGCATAATCTTGCAAGAATACAATACAAATCTGTCTTTATGAATATTTAAATATGCCTTACTGTCATGATCTACCTTTTAAATTATTCGGAATTACAAAAAAACACGAGCTGTTTCATAGAAATTTACGTTGTTGCAAAATTTGTTTATAAATTGGTTTATGGAAAAAAGGACAAATGTGAAATATCTTATTAATAAGCCTGGCCAAGGTCATTAATCCTACAGAGACGTACTGGGTATACATCATATCATAATACTTGAATAAGTACAATAATATAAACAAAAATATTTTATATATTGTGATGTATGTTTTTGTACTATTTCGTTCGCTTTAAATTCTTTTTATGTATATCCTTATATTTTGTAAGCTTAGTGCTGCACATTATTATTAAACTGTTAAATGACGTTCACACATGTACATTGTATATCTAAGTGATAACTAATAAATAAATAAATAAATAAATAAAATAAATGGAAATAAATTTTATTAATACTTGTACACTTTATAAAAATATGTACAAAACTCACCTTAAGCAGATTTTTGAAGTAGCTTGGTTGTCGTTATCACAAACTGGAGCACTTCTATAATAACTGTGTAGCATCAGATATGTTTCTACAGTTGTCTTAGTAAGCGATGTTCGCTGTGGTGAAAAAATATGTTTGTATTTTGAAAAAGACCGTTCGACATCTACAGAAGTAATACAGGCATAAGTAAAACACTCTGTGAACTCACTTAATGCAGCTGTAGATGCACCGTCACAAATTTGTCTTAATTTGGTAAAATCAGGATCTTTCCGTAATACACTCTCGAATTTTTCAATAACGGGCTTATTTTTTGCGTTATTTATAGTCTGTAGCTGTGTATTCACGTCGTCTACTATTTGCAGCGATTCCACTAACGACAACGAAGTATTTTGCAAGTTTTCTATTGCGTCGTGTAGTCCTCTATAATTGTTATAAATAGTTTTTAAATCTGTTTCAAGGGAAACATATTGACCTGTAATATCACAGCTTTTATTTGTTGAAAATATTCAGCATAATAAAAAGCTGCCTTCAACCACGTTCCCCAACGTATAAGAATCGGCTCTGGTGGTTCCAGAATACCAGGACACAGTGTGTGAAATGCTCGAAGCCGTTTAGGAGATTTGAGAAATACTTTTTTTGTATTTGCTATTAATGCATCTACCTCTGGAACACATTTTCGAATCGTTACTGCTACAAGATGGAACGCATTCACTTTACACGTAACATGTAAAAACCTACAATCGTCTCTTTGAAGAAAACGGCCCACCAAACGCATTGTCGCAGCACCGTCGGTCACAAACATCGACACTTGACTTATTGACAGTTCTAATTTTTCGAAAGTCTCCAACACCACCCGCGTAATTGTTTCGCCAGTACACGAAGTTAGTCTTTTGCTAGCTAGTAAAAGTGGCAATATTGGTTTAACAGGGTCGAGTACACGTACTATAACATTTAAAATAGAATTTTTTTTACAATCTGTCGTCTCGTCAACACATAACCACAGCCGTGTATTTTTTAATACACAATTAATCCTATTTACAATATCTTCACGAATACTTGGTACATATGTACGTAACGATGAACGACTTAGTAAATTCACCTGGGGAATGTATTTATTCCAGCACTCCCAAAATGCTGGTTTATCCAATATGCGCAGGGGAACATCACAGGCAATCAGCATTAACAGTAAATCAAACATAAACTGAGGTTCCAAAGAAGACACACCATTTCTTTATTTTATGCCGGTTACTATTGACATGAATTTTGCAGCCGTATTTATTCCAACACAAGTCCTGATCACAAACTTTACAAATTATTTTACATCCATCATAGATTAAATCCGGAAATTCACCGAAAAATTTATTCACTTTATCAGCATACGGTCGTTTTCTACTGTTTACGCTCAACATTATTTATTATCTATTAGTGCTCTAGGCATCGACCGACAGATAACAACTGAAGTGAGTCGTGTCATCGTTATTGTAAACATGAGCGCGATGGCATTGGTATTGCGCCCGTCCCTGAATATTCCATCGCTTGGCCAGGCTTACTAATTAATAAAAGATTCTTTGACAATATATTACATTATTGCAATAAAATAATAGTGGTTTAGATACAACTGCTCTCTGCTCTAATATCGGGGAAACGGTGACGAACATCGTCTACCATTTACAATGTGAACTAATTTGTCATTGGTGGTTATTTTGCTCTATTCCTCTATCAATGTGACACACTTTCTTCTGCTTCTCCATTATTAACGATTTTAAGTTCTGTCACTGCCTCAAATCTTTTTGGAAATCATTTTGGTCTGGCCAACTACTTAAATCTATTGAAAACTGTCTCCGTTTCTGGAAATATAAAATATTCCATCCATTTCCAATGAATTCTACAACTTCTTTCTTTCAATCGCTCGGTTCCTTCATTACTGGGTTCCTCACATTTATAGGCTTTGTAATCCTTGTTCTATTTTAAACCATTTATCATCTTTCCTTGTGATTTGATCAACATTATTATCAAAAAGGGCTAATGCAATCAAATACCATAAATGATTATTGCATTTGTTCAACACAACTCGAGAAATAACTGGATCGATATTTGCAAAATTAAGACAATTTGTAGAAATTGTAGACCTTGATTTGGTGGTTTAACAACAAAAAGAGCTATAAATCATACTTGCGCAAATTTGACAAAAAAAGCAAAACTATTAGAGATACTGTCGGCCTTCTCCAAGCTTATTTTGAATTCATTTTGAAGCAGCAACATTTTGAAACAATAAATGGTCCTTGCAATTAATCTCGGATGGCATGGCATGACGGAGATACTTTGTGTGGTGGAATATCTAGAAATTCTTTATAATAATCTTGTGGCTGCTGCTTTTTTTAAACAATTTCTCGTGAAGGCAAGAATTTCTACTAAATCATCGTGTAAAGAAATTCAAATCTTTTTGAGGCTGAAAAAATTAATTTTCGGCCATAATTTTCGAAAACCATAGAACATGACTGATTAATTTTGGTTTCAAAAGCACTAAACATTATTTCATACAAACAAGATAGATTTTTGGGGGTTCAAAATAAGAAAAAAAGAAGGTTTAGTGCCAAATCCAATTATGCAGCTACGGACACGTGATTCGGAGTTAGTGCCACTCATCAGCGTAGCGTAGCTAAGGAATTGGATCTAGTATGGGATAGGTCAGGAACAAGAACTAAAATAAGGCTGAAAAGTACAGTACACAATACTCAATTAGTGCCTTCATATTCCCATGTGCCACAAATGGATGAGCACAGTCGACACACAGAGCTCTATGTGTACTGCTGCTATTGCTGCATAATTGTTTTTTTTTTTGGGATATGGCACTAAACCTTTGTATTTTTTCATACACATGATGCCTACAAAATAAATAGAGCTGGTCTCTTTGCAGCATCAGTTCTAATAAAATATAAGTTTAATCCTATTGTTTCACAGCACGAAGCTTTTACTACCTCAATCAAATTCCAATCAACTAATGTTTCATGAACCACGATAGATTTTATTTTCCCCCTGCAGATTCTAATGTCGCTACACTAAATGTCTTTTTAATTTCCTCATTTATTATTATGGGAAGTCTTTCAATCATATGTTTAGGGCATGGTAGCTGAGTGGGTAAAGCATTTAACGCTATTTACTTCGTACCAAAGGTCGATGGTTCGATTCCATCCTGGAGAAAGTTAGAAATTTTAATGTTTCAGACTAAGATGTAAGAGGATAGAGTCAAAGTTCTAGATGTGGTTCTGACTCCACTACAGGGCCTCAACTCCCTTTACGTAATACAAAATCTTTAGATTTTCAGAGATTACTTTGGCGACTTGAGAAGCAGTTAAGAAAACATTTTATTTCTTTTTTTTAGAACCATCAGGCAGCAGCTTCGCATCTCGACAGCCATTTGTAGTTCAGATTCTGCAAATTGCTTTTTATCTCCTTTTCTTGGCGCAAATTTTTTCTGAAGCGTCAATTCGATGATTTGTTACTGACTAAATCCACAGTATAACCAGTAGATTATTTCAGCTACATTTCATTCATATATCCACTGAGCTCTCTGGGACCTCGAATGCAGGTGGTTGCGTCACAGGCGTAGTATTTTACAAGAATACCATGGGTGTACGCAGCAAATTTTGCGTGGTTGATTAATTAATAAAATAAATAATAATTATTAGTTAGCAAAGAGACCCTGGGCTTTTAATGTTTGTGCAGCCAAGTATATTTAATTTTTTAACATTTTATATGGTTAAATTAAAAAATCTGTAAATTATCTAGATAAATGAAAGAAAATACACAATAGGCATAATATTTTATTATTAATATTATAATTGATAATGAATACTAAAAATTTCATAGGTTACAAAATAAAATAGCTAGGAATTAAAAAACAAATGAATTGTTGATATTTCTAAATTATTAATTTTGTGTTTTGTTTGCCAGTTTTAAAATTTCTATTAATAAATTTAAGACTGTAAAATATGTTCGTATTTTTTTCTTAAAACACCTATTCTCAATAGTTCAGAAAAAGTGCCGAACAAAGCACTTCCACTCACATGATGTGGTGTGGAATTAAAATATTATACTTTCAATTTACATTCTTAAAATAATTTCATTAATGGTTCTTGCTTTTGTAAAACAGTAACTCCTATACTAAAATCAATAAACTAATGTAACCATTTTTTCACGAGGAAATATGAATAAAACTTACATATGGTCAACATAAATTTAAGGATGCCAAAAAAATTTATATACAGGGTGTCCTATAATTAAATACTTATATTCAAGAGGGTAATAGAACTATAAAAAATTAGTTGAGTTTTATATATAAACATTTGCCTTAAATCAGTTTATAAATAAAAGTGCGGAATTATTTTTGTAGAGGTATGTATTGTAGTTACCTATCGACTACTGTATAACCATACTGCATTGCAATATTTAAGTTCAAATAAATTCAAAGCGATAGCTTATACCTATCGACATTTAGTAAGGGGACTTTTTATGCAGTTTTTAACACTAGCGTTTCTTTCCACTATAAATGTGTAAAAAAAAAAACAAAAAGTTATGGCGAAAATTCACTCCCACACCCTTTGTAATTAACCTAATAAATCACGATATGTAGGTAAAAATTTAACAAAATATGCAACATTATGAAATTAACCATGGTCCAAATTTAATTTTTGCAACTTAAGACGTTTCGAATATATCGACAAATAACTATGTTGTATTTATCCTCTTTAAGGGATTGTAGCTCCCTTATGAACTGACTTAAGACAAATGTTTATATACAAAACTCAACTTATTTTTTATAGTCCTATCACATCCTTGAAAGAAAGTACTTAAATATGGGACATCCTGCATATGCTTTAACTTTATTTAACTCTTTCACCCTATAAATTGCCCGCAAATAAAAAGAACCCCAACACACGTTGTGTTAAAAATAATCACCTCTATATTGTTTTACATAAATCTAATAACCTGTCGTCGCCGCCTGGCTGAAAATATCAGTGTTGAATTAAAAAATATGGATTTACAAAATGAAAGAACCAATGGTCATTTAAAAAATGACTAAACTTTTCATAAAATGACTAATTTGTAATTTATCTACAACATACACACATTTTAAAATTTATTCTGTAATATCTTTAAAAATTATTCAAACTAGATGCAGAAGAGCATTTGTCTAATTGTAAATACAAAACTAATAATTTTATTTTTTTTATTATATTTCCTATTTGATTTATACTTTCAATTTATATTCTTAAAATTTCTTCATTAATGGTTCTTATTTTATGCAAAACAATACTTATCTCCTATACTAAATTCAGTATGTTTTATGCTTGCATAAAGTTTTTCACACGACATTACGGTCAAGGAAATGAATTAAACTTCTCATTACTACAATAACTTTTATTTGTATACCCTCTACATGAGCAAATCATTCGCCCTCTTTTCTTATCATTACCCATTTTAAAATAAAATAAAATGCATACAATTGTCACAGTAAACAAATTATGTGTAAAGTACTTACACCACGAGTTATTTTTTGTTTCGCTGATAACATACACACCGCTCTGACGGCCACTACTATACTGATGCTTTTCAGAATAACGAGTCAGAATAACGGCTCTTGAAGGTTCCCGGTGGCGAGGCCTAGCAACAAGGAGAAATAAGCTACTGGTTATACTATGCTAAATCGTTGGTATTCATTCATGTGCTACAACTTTAGCCACTGTTAGTTAAATATGCAAAATGTCTCTATCGCTAAGTCGATATTTATTTAGCGATCATTATACCATGTTCCTCTAATATTCTAAGTTTTCTCAGATTTGCTGGGCCTCGATCCGTTGCTGCTAAAGCAAAGTACTCTAATTCAATATACAGGTTGAGGCAATAGTGCGTCCGACTTCGATATGTCGAGTTCTATGATAGCTAGAAACACAAATAAACTAGACAACAGAGTCTATAACAGAAGATTATTTTCGAATATGTAGGGTGAGCCAAGACGATTCTACAGGGTCACGTAAAATTTTTTTAAATATGAAATAACATGCATATCAAAACATATTTTGAAACCTCTTTATGGCCTCCATCCACTCCTATATTATTATTGACTCTCTCCCAACCACTTGGATGTAATGATTTTTTTTTGTTGAAATTATGCAATTTACACGTATACATATTAAAAAAACCACTACAGTCATACTTGTCGATTTTAAGAATAAATATATTAGTGCCAGCTATGAGACATCTGTGTGATGACACTCAGCCATTTTCACTACCTGAAACTATACAGAGTGGCCAAAATTTTTTTTTAAATTTACAACTTTTTCAACTGAATTTTCTCAGTTTTTTCAAATGAAACACCCTGTATAATTTTAGACAATGTGATATAGAATTAACACACGAACATTTTTTGTACGTACATCCCTATGGCTATTTGTAACCATTTTTGATTTATTGAACAATTGCAAAATTCAGCAATAAAAATTAAAAATATATTTTTTTGTAATTCAAGAGAAGATATTATAAAACGTGCTCCACATGTTTCCCATTTTGATTGACACACATTTCTATACGTCTTTGGAATGGTTTCTACTGTTCATAAAATTGCTGGAGTGATACGTCTAAAAGCATTTATTATCCTTTCCTTCAAATTTGGAACTATTGTTGGTGTGACTTTTTAATGGGCATCATGTAACACGCTTATTATAATACCTTCTCTTGAATTATTTAAAAAAAGCCTCATTTTTATTTTTATTGCTGAAATTTGCAGTTATCTTTCAATTAATTGAAAATCGTCACAAATAGCCATAGGAATGTACATACAAAAAAAATGTTCGTTTTTCAATCCTATATCACATCGTCCAAAAATATACAGGGTGTTCCATTTAAAAAAATTTAGAAAATCCAGTTCAAAAAGTTGTAAATTAGAAATCCTTTTGGGCTACCCTGTATACTTTTAAAAAAGTGAAAATGGCTGAGAATTTTCAATTACAGACTTTTGTCTAGTTTATTTATGTTTTTAAATCAAGTTTTTAGCTCATAGAACTCGAGATATCGAATCGAACGCACTATTGCTCCGCTCTGTATATGTTTTCTTTAGTAACAAAATTCCCACCTCTGCTTAAAAACGAGATTTTGACTGTTCCCCAAATAATTCAATTTTATTTGTCACCTGACAGTAGAGTTGCTACTTTTTTTAATATTAAAAAAAATACTGGGTTTCTTCGAGACTGTGAATCTTCTTGTCTTTCCATTCTCTGGATTTGGTTTTTGTACTTTTATTTCTAGACTTCTAAGGGTATATATTAGGACATTTTTTAAAAGTACGTTTCATAATTACTATTTTCTTTATGGGTCATCTATAATTTCATATTAGCTGAATGCGCTGTTTTTTCCTTTCAGTGATATTTCACAGTTCTGTGAAAACATTTTTTATATCAAAATTAGGAATAGCAAGAATACTTTTTCTTCAGGCATGCTGATGTATCTTGTACTGAACGGAATTATTAATTTCGAAATGGCATTCTACAAATAATTACGTACCTGATAAAGAGCATTTTTTTAATAGTTATTATTAACAAAGAATTATTATTGTATATTTTGTTAATATTATCTACTGTTTCTAACCCTGAACTCGACAATCGTATATTGCCAAGTAGACAGTATTTATTTATTGTAGTAAAAGTTCCCAAGGGTTTGGACTACTTTTTTTTTACATAATTAAAATTTCAGCTAACACAACAAAGTACCCAGAAAATCGATTTTAAAATATATCGTTGTTCTTTGAGTAATTCCACCCCATTCAAGTTCCAAAGAATAGCTATTAAGCCTCGGGTTAAAATAATAATATTAAGTTTTGGTGTAAGATTAACAAGATAAAGTTTTATTAGGTTCGATGCAAATGACGACAATAGTACAAAAAACTTTTGCCATTTAGGAGATATTTCGATAAAGTTTGGACATATTGAAAACTAACCCTCGGGCTAATCTCTCCTGCGTTCAGACATCACATTGAAACTCAAACTTTCTAGCTGGTTCAATATTCAAGCTTGCCTTTTTTACATAACGTGCAATGTTTGCCGTATTTTAAAAGCAGCTATTTTCCTAAAGGAATTATTTTATTTTAAAAATCTGACATTTTATATTAAAATATTTTTGTTACATACACGGTGTTTTGCTTAAAACTATT